GGGGGGGGGGGCAGCGTTATCATATACTTATTCCTTTTATATGTGTGTCTTTATTATAAAAGTCACACATAAACCGATAAGATGTGCGGACATTAAAGAAAAAGTTATAAAGAAGTAGTAGGAAAATATCACCTATATTCCCATCCTTCAGGGGCAGCCACNTTCAGAGAGAGGAAAGGAGGGGGAGAGAGAGAGATAGAAACATCAATGATGAGAGAGTCATTGATCGGCTGCCTAGCTCGCAACCCAGGCATGTGCCCTGACCAGGAATCGAACCCCGATCTCCTGGATCCTAGGTCGATGCTCAACCGCTGAGCCACGCCCGGCCGGGTGGGCACATTTCCTTCTAGTCTCCATCGTGTATATATTCCCGTTTTGGACAGGCAGAGTTTAAATTGGTTATTTAGAGTCTCCTGCCCCCTGCCCATTCCCACGCCTTTGTAGGGGATGGGGAATGAGAAGAGATCTGTTTCTGGAATGAAGAAAGGCCACATTAAAAAGGGGAACCTGATTGATTGCTTGCTAATTTGCTTCCACCCTACTTACCTCAGTTTATTTGTTATAGTTTTACCTTAACATTTACTATTGGGCATGGATACCCTAAGGGGTGACCCAGAAAATCCACTGAGTTCCACACATAGTTCTTCTTGTCTCCATTTTCTAGGAGCAATCCAATTAATTTCCTCTTGGTAACCAAGATTAAGCACTCCATCCTATAAATAACCCCCTTTTTTGCTTATTGGTTTGGTGGCATAAGGAGTCCCAAATGGCCAGGTGACAGTCTCACCTTCCAAGTAATGGAGCCATTCTTGTGGCCTCTAGTTGAAGTACTCCCACCTTGAAGACTAAGACCCCCAAACCAGCAGAGGCTAAGGCTCCTGAGATGGGAAGCAAAAATTCTGTGAGTGGGTCACTGGGTATAAGGAGAGAGGAGACACTTTCCTTTCTATGCCTTTATTCTTGGACTCATGGACTTAGTCTGCCTATGGTTCCTCATAACTAGAATCAGTGGTTTCTGATTTGAAGCACATACTGTGTCCTGTAAGACGGAACCCTGTCCTTTCAGGATGTTGTCTCACAACTGGTGCAATAACTGAGTCTTCAGCAAGCTAGTCCATCTTTCAACTAGTCCAGCCACTTCCAGATGATGGGGTGTGTGGCAAGAACAATTAATTCCATGGACATGATTCTCTTTCTGCACTTTCTTTGTTGTGAAATGAGTTCCTTGATCAGAATTCATACTACAGGGAATACCATGATGATAGACAAGGCATTCTTTGCATCCATGGTGATGGTTCTGTAGTTGCATTATGGGCAGAGAAGACAAATCCACATCCAGAAATGTGTCTTTTACAGTGAAGATGGATCTCTGCCTCCTCCGCGATGGAAGAGACCCATGTAGGCAATCTGCTACCAGGTGGGTTAGCTAGTCCCCCCAGGGAATCAGGGTTGATTTCTTCTTTTGACCCATGAGGCACTCAACAATAGCTGTAGCCAGGTGGACATTAAGGTTGTTGACCATGTCGTTGATCCCATGCATAGCCTCCATTACTGCCACCAAGGCAACTTTATTCATAGACCCATGAACTTGCCACTGATAAGGGAAGCTCAAAATGACTTGGAAGTTCAAGGTTGTCAGTTTCATCTGGGTCCAATGCAATATCCTCATTTCAAGTTTTATGACCCCATTTTTTCCCATTCAAGTTTCATATGAACAACTTGATGAGGTGTGAATTCAATTGATATTATAACTCAGCAATTTCAACAATTAAATTTTATGTTATATTTTCAGCAGTATCATCCCTGTGTCTTTAAGAAATAAAATATTCTTTTAAATTCTATCCTTGTAGCTTCTCAGATCATGATT